GTCATCAGACTAGTGCTGAGTCTTGGGGTACTGGCAGAGCTGTGGCTCGAATTCCCAGAGTTCGAGGTGGTGGGACTCACCGTTCTGGCCAGGGTGCTTTTGGAAATGTATCCTTTATTTCACTACCTAAGACTTGTAGGCTCTGATGGAATTTAGCAGACTGGGCCTAATGTAAAAATAGTACATTTCTTAAAGAGAAGGGGCTTCATTTATATGTGGTTATTTTGCTTGCCATGATGTCGTAATTTGCGTCTTACTCTGTTCTCGGCGACAGTTGCCTGCTGTCAGTAAGCTGGTACAGAAGGTTGACGAAAATTCTTCCTGAGCAAGAAATAATAACCTTTTTTAATTACTAAAATTTGAGAAATGTGGTTCTTGACTGGAAAAATAGATGTGTCGTGGAGGCCGAATGTTTGCACCGACCAAAACCTGGCGCCGTTGGCATCGTAGAGTGAACACAACCCAAAAACGATATGCCATCTGTTCTGCCCTGGCTGCCTCAGCCTTACCAGCACTGGTCATGTCTAAAGGTTTGTAATGCTTTGTATCATAAGAGAGGTTGAAGAAATAAGGCACCTAGTGTTTGTTAGTGTGATTTTTTTTTTTTTTTAAATTCATAGTAACCTATTTTGAGATGGCTAAAAGAGAATAATTAGAAAGTTTTTAATGTGAAATGTTTTAGTTAATGGATATCCCAGTTACACTGATTTGATCTTGACAAAAGCGCAGTTATCAAATGTTCTCCAGAAATACACCTATTTCATAAGTTTTAAAAGATTTAATCAAAAATATTTTGTATTAACTGTCAAAATGATGAGATTCCACTTAATTGGTCCGTGTTTCTGAAACACATGATATTTGTGGAAATTCTGACTTGGCAAATTGAATACCATTGTGCTTTTATAAGTTGTATAAAATGTTTCTTGATTTTTACTTATTTTTTTTCTGAAAGGTTTAGGATAACCTAATCAAATTGGTTTTTGTTAGGTCATCGTATCGAGGAAGTTCCTGAACTTCCTTTGGTAGTCGAAGATAAAGTTGAAGGCTACAAGAAGACCAAGGAGGCTGTTTTGCTTCTTAAGAAACTTAAAGCCTGGAATGATATCAAAAAGGTCTGTTTAATGAGCACATTTACAGTATACTACTTGTTCAGTTTGTTACTTTGAATTACAGAAGGTAAGTGAAGGGCAGTATAGATAAGCCTTAATGTTTGAGAGAGCAAGAACCTCAGAGCCCGATTACTTGTGTTAGAATCCTAACTGCCATTCATGACTGTAACCTTGCCAAGTTATTGTGCCCTAATTTAATCATCTGTAAAATGGAATTATAATAAAGCTGAAGATTTATTGCAGAAGTTGTATATTAATCAGAATACTACAACTGGTCACTTTGTAGGTCTATGCCTCTCAGCGAATGAGAGCTGGCAAGGGCAAAATGAGAAACCGTCGCCGTATCCAGCGCAGAGGCCCCTGCATCATCTACAATGAGGATAATGGTATCATCAAGGCCTTCAGAAACATCCCTGGTAATTAAACTGCTTGCTTACATGTATTGATTAGCTATGCTATGCAAGACTACTCAGCTTTTGTTATGATGAGATTTCACTTTATGGTCCGTGTTTCTGAAACATGATTTTATGGAGGTTGTGATTTGTGGCTGAAAGATCTGCAGCATTGATGGTTGAAACTTCATAATGAATCACTATCGGGTACCTTTTGTAGTTCCTAAGCCATAAATGATTTGTGTTTCTTCTGTTGAAATACAGCCTCCCTAATTTTTCTTTACCTTTAAAAGGAATTACTCTGCTTAATGTAAGCAAACTGAACATTTTGAAGCTTGCTCCTGGTGGGCATGTGGGACGTTTCTGCATTTGGACCGAAAGTGCTTTCCGGAAGTTAGATGAATTGTATGGCACTTGGCGTAAAGCTGCTTCCCTCAAGAGTAACTACAAGTAAGTATCTTTCATATTACTAAATAACATGTTTATATTGCGGATATTAACATTCAAAGAATTGGCTTACATGTTTTCTGAATGATGAATTTTGTTTCATTTCCCCTTACATGTAGACACAGGCTGCTAAAAGAGGACTAATCAGGTCCATGTTTTTTGTTTTTGAAATAGATTCTCACTCGGTCTTTCCCAGGCTGGAGTGCAGTGGGGTGATTTTTTGCTTACTGCAGCCTCTGTGTCCTGGGTTCAAGTGATTCTCCTGCCTCAGCCTCTGGAGAAGCTGGGATTATAGGCATGTGCCACCAGGTCCAGCTAATTTTTGTGTTTTTACTAGAGATGGAAGTTTTGCCTCCCTGGCCAGGCTGGTTTTGAACTCCTGACCTCCGGTGATCACCTGTCAGCATCAAAAGTGCTGGGATTACAGCGTGAGCCACGTTGCCCAGCCTGGTCCATGTTTATGAGAAGTGATAATGTCTTAGATAATTTGGAGAGCACAAGTGGTTAAAAATAAAGCTGTAGTTGAGCTTCATGTTCTTCAGTCAATTACTTTTACACATATGTGTCAATTTTCTCTCTCAGTCTCCCCATGCACAAGATGATCAATACAGATCTCAGCAGAATCTTGAAAAGCCCAGAGATCCAAAGAGCCCTTCGAGCACCACGGTAAAGTGATTACTTAGAGTATGATTCTTGCCCCAACCCTATACAATTGGTTATTTCAAAAAGTTGTGTGTGTATAATGTAATTGATATAATGTGTTGATACAGTATCTGCCTTTTTATAGCAAGAAGATTCATCGCAGAGTCCTAAAGAAGAACCCACTGAAAAACCTGAGAATCATGTTGAAGCTGAACCCATACGCAAAGACCATGCGCCGGAACACCATTCTTCGCCAGGCCAGGAATGTGAGCGATTATTATTATTATTTTTTTTAACTGATACATTAAGTTCTTAGATTTGGTTCTTACTGTTTTCTACCTAATACGTTGCAGCACAAGCTCCGGGTGGATAAGGCGACCGCGGCAGCAGCAGCACGAGAAGCCAAATCAGATGAGAAGGGAGTTGCAGGCAAGAAGCCTGTTGTAGTAGGTAAGAAAGGAAAGAAGGCTGCTGTTGGTGTTAAGAAGCAGAAGAAGCCTCCAGTAGGAAAAAAGGCAGCAGCAGCCAAGAAACCAGCCCTTGAAAAGAAGCCAGCAGAAAAGAAACCCACTACAGAGGAAAAGAAGCCTGCTGCATAAACTCTTAAATTTGGTTATTCCATAAAGGTCAAATCATTTTGGACAGCTTCTTCTGAATAAAGACCTGATCGAACAGGCAGAGAAACACAGCTTGTTGGTGTGTTGTGTAAAGTGTGGTTAGAATTTTTTTAAAGAGACATTTTATTGGCAATAATTTAGATTGTTCCATTTTACATAGTCTTAATAAAATGGGGCATGGATTTATACTAAGTCCATGGAGATGAATGGAAAGGGAATGATCAAAAACTCTTGATTTTCTAAATGTGGCTTGAAAAATAGGTTTAACAGGACTTCGTCAGAAATGCACAGAGGCTGTTGAAGTTTAGCTCAAAATAGGTTAAATTCTGTAAACATTTAACACTTTAACCACAAGAGGGCACAATTGGAGAACAGTTTTTTTGGAACTGGAGTAAATGATTAGCTCTTAAAAGTTTTTTTTAAACTAGCTATGACAATAGAATTGCTTGAATATTTTTACCCGTGGTTTGAAAAAGTGCCAGTAGGCCACAGTGGCTCACACCTGTAATCTCAGCACTTCGGGACCCTGAGGCAGGCAGATCATGAGGCCATGAGTTCAAAAGCAGCCTGGCCAAATGATGAATTCTCCTTTTCTAAAAATATAAAACACACCTGTAATCCCAGCTATTTGAGAGGTTGAGGCAGGAGAATCACAATCTGGGAGGTGGATGTTGCAGTGAGCTAAGATTGCACCATTGCACTCTAGCTTTGGCAACAAAGACCGTCTCAAAAGTACCAGAAGCATTTTTCAGGATTGCCTATGTGTCTTGTTAAATAAACTGAAATATCCATGATGCACGGTGGCTGACGCCTGTAAGCCCAATGCTTTGGGAGGCTGAGGTGGGTGGATCCACGAGGTCAGGAATTGAAGACCAGCCTGCCCAACGTGCTGAAACCCCGTCTCTAATAAAAATACAAAAAAATCGTGAGGCATGGTGGTGCACACCTGTGATCCCAGCTACTCTGGAGGCTGAGGCAGGAGAATCACTTGAACCCAGGAGGCACAGGTGGTGGCGAGCGCAGATCACACCATTGCACTTCAGCCTGGCCCACAGAGCAAAAAACTGTTTCTCAGATAACTATGAAATGCCTCATCAGATACAAGGGGCTCTTTTTATTCATAAAGCTAAACTGCAGTTATTACCCTAGAATTAACCCTTTTGTCTTGTGTCAAAGCCTTGTTTTGCATTTGTATTGTTAAAGTAGCTTCCCTCTGCCAGTCTCAAAGTTCACAGTCAAGGTGATCTGTAATCTTCCCCATTTCCATGGCCAAATCTCAGTTCTTAAGCACATAAAGGTGCCATTTCTCATTGCAATTTCTTACCCTTTATTTTCCTGCTTTTTAGTTATCTGGTGTAGCCTTACCCTTTAAAATCCACTGGGAATCCTACCCTGTGGGGCCTGTTTTTTTTTTTTTTTTCTCTCGACCTTGTGATCCACCCGCCTTGGCCTCCCAAAGTGCTGGGATTACAGGCTTGAGCCACCGCGCCCGGCGGGGCCTATTTTAACACAGTAGGGTTCATGTGCCTGCCTTCAAATCTGCAGGGTTTTTTTGGGTTGAGATAGCCACTTGTTGGAACACCATATTGGAAGTGCTATACACCAGGTCATTTGAAACGGTGTTTGACCATTGACGCGGAAATGGCCTATCGGATTAAAGGCTGTCGACAAATGTTGACACAGCCTGGACACCTACCTGCAGCTCGTCGCCTGCGGAGCGGCCAAGCCATAGCGAGCGTCGGAAGGGGGCGCACCCTTCGCCTTTCCCCGATATGGCCGGCAGCCCCGTCTCTCCGCTCGGTTTCCGGGAGTCGGCGGCGATGGCGTCATCACCGAGCGCCGGGCCTACGGCAGCGCGGAGGCCGGCTGTGTGAGCAGGAAACATGCTGAGCCGGCTTCAGGAACTGCGCAAGGAGGAGGAGACGCTGCTGCGATTGAAGGCGGCCCTGCACGACCAGCTGAACCGCCTCAAGGTGACCCCGTGGCCCCCTCCCGACCCTCCTCCATTCCGCCCGAGCAAACCATTTCCCCCTAACCTGGGCTTCTGCGTTCTCCCCTACTCACTAGCTGTGGTGACGCCCATATACAGGTTTACAAACAAACAGGGCATCTGAAGCACCTGGGGGGTTTGCTGTGCGCTTGTTAGGCCCCACCTCTGAGACTCTTGACCCCGCAGGTCTAGGCTGAGGCCCAGGGATCTGTGTTTGGCAAGTCCTGCCCTACCTGATTCTTCCCGTAAATGCCGATGGCCCTCAGACAACACGCCGAGGAAGGGCTCCCTCGGCCCACCGACCCTTTCCTTCTGAACTGCTGTTTTCTAGCTTGTCTTGGCGCTTGGAATCGCTCTAGTTTTGCAAAGCTAGGAGGGACTCCCGGATCCTCTCATGCTACCAAGGAAGACGGAGGCCCTGGGAGGAGAGACTCGTCCCATTGTCTGCAGGCTCCCAGTAGCTCTTGTTACTGACGCCATGGCCTTGAGGAGGAGTCGGGCAACCTCCGCCTTCTGGGTTCAAGCGAGTCTCGTGCTTCACCTTTCCAAGTTGCCGGCATTACAGGCGTGCATCACCACGCCCCGCTAATTTTTGTATTTTTAGTAGAGGCGTTGTTTCGCCATGTTGCCCAGGCTGGTCTCAGACTCCTGAGCTCTAGGAATCAGCCTTCCAAAGTGCTGAGACTACAGGCGTAAGCCACCGCGGCCAGCCTTACCAAAAAAAAAAAAAACACTAAAATTAGCTGAGCGTGTTGGTGCGCACCTGTAGTCCAGCTACTCGGGAAACAGGTGAGAGGATGACCTGAGCCCAGGAGTCAACGCTGCGGAGATCTGAGATTGTGCCAGTGCACTCCAGCCTAGGCTATAAGGGGAGACCTTGCCTTAAAAAAAAAAAAAAAAAAGAGAAAAAAAGGTCCTGGGAGGCGATAATGCTAATCCCCGCTCAGCTTCCTTTTTCAGAATCTTTTTTTTTTTTTTTTTTGAGACAGAGTTTTTCAGTCTTGTTACCCAGGCTGGAGTGCAATGGCGCGATCTCGGCTCACTGCAACCTCCCCCTCCCAGATTCTAGCGATTCTCCTGCCTCAGCCACCCGAGTAGCTGGGATTACCGGTGTCCACCACCAGGCCCAGCTAATTTTTTGTATTTAGTACAAACGGGTTTCACCATCTTGGCCAGGCTGATCTCCAACTCCTGACCTCAGGTGATCCATCCGCCTAGGCCTCCCAAAGTGCTGGGATTACAGGCATGAGCCAACACACCTGCCCCTTTTTTCAGAAACTTTAAGTCCATATGAGGTTAAGATTGCCAAAGCCCTTTGTAAACTGAAAAGTATTATACACCTCTGACATATCAAAATCATAGCATTTTTCCTTAGGGAAGTTATAATGCCCTCCACTTATTTGTGTCTCTGTATTGCCACAATACAGTACCTAATGAGTATATTGAGGACCATCTCCAAAGTCCAGATTTCCTTATGCTTCAGGAAACGCCTCTGTTTTCTATTCTTTCCTTCACATCTCATTACTGAATAATAGGCTCAGTTCTGGGGAATCGCTCTGAAGAGTCAGGTGACACTTGTCTGTTTTATTGACACACTTGTACTTTCTGAGTTGCTAGGTCTAGGGAAGTGGAAGCCATGGCTCAGCCAGAAAACCTGCTCAGCCCAGGGGAAAGGGGCTGGAGTCTTTCTTTGCTCATCTCTAAAAGAGAGAAAGTCTAAGCGCCTACCCTGCAACTTTCCCTCTAGAGCAACAGAGATAGTTTTCATTCCCTCTTGATACAAATCTTTTATGGTATGCCCAGCAGTTTACCCACATCGGTAGCTCAGTGAAATAGTAAGGAAAGTGACCTCAACTCTTCTCTTCTAGGTTGAAGAATTAGCCCTCCAATCAATGATCAGTTCTAGAAGAGGGGATGAGATACTGTCTTCTCAAACTGTACCTGAACAGTCACATGATGTAAGCATAATCAAGTGCAGGCCTAGGAGGGAATGTAATGCCCCTATGCTGCTTGGGTGGTGAAGAACTGATGTAGATCACATTACTTAGCCCGAAGGGCTCTGGGAAGTGCTGATAAGAATTTTCTGTCTTAGCTTTGCGCAGTGGCAGTATCGTAGCCAATGAGGTTTATCTGAGGCGCGATTATTGCTAATTGAAAACTTTTCCCAATACCCCGCCATGACGACTTGAAATATAGTCGGCATTGGCAATTTTTTTTTTTTTTTTTTTTTTTTTTTTTTTGAGACGGAGTTTCGCTCTTGTTACCCAGGCTGGAGTGCAGTGGCGCGATCTCGGCTCACCGCAACCTCCGCCTCCCGGGTTCAGGCAATTCTCCTGCCTCAGCCTCCTGAGTAGCTGGGATTACAGGCACGTGCCACCATGCCCAGCTAATTTTTTTGTATCTTTAGTAGAGACGGGGTTTCACCATGTTGACCAGGATGGTCTCGATCTCTTGACCTCGTGATCCACCCGCCTCAGCCTCCCAAAGTGCTGGGATTACAGGCTTGAGCCACCGCGCCCGGCTTTTCTTTTTTTTTTTTTGAGATGGAGTTTCGCTCTTGTTACCCAGGCTGGAGTGCAATGGCGCGATCTCGGCTCACCGCAACCTCTGCCTCCTGGGTTCAGGAAATTCTCCTGCCTCAGCCTCCTGAGTAGCAGGGATAACAGGCACGCGCCACCATGCCCAGCTAATTTTTTGTATTTTTAGCAGAGACGGGTTTTCACCATGTTGACCAGGATGGTCTCCATCTCTTGACCTCGTGATCCACCCACCTCGGCCTCCCAAAGTGCTGGGATTACAGGCTTGAGCCACCGCGCCCGGCCCGGCATTGGCAATTTTTGACAGTCTCTATGGAGACTGAATTATTTAAAAAAAAAAAATTGTCTTAATAAGGTAGCAACTATACATTACCCACCTTCCTACCAGCTGGTTATCCTCTAATTTATTAAGTAGTTGCTAATGTTTTACCACCATCCTCCTCCTCATCCATTCTATCTAGTTACTCAGATGAACCCAGGGAAAGTGTGCATTTTTTGTAGGACTATGTCAAAACTCTTGCTCTTTTGTGAATAAGTAACCTTGGGATTCAAGAGTGTCGCTTCAATTACGAAGCACAGTGCTAAAAGATGAGTTCCAGTCCTTATCATACTCATCTCCTACCAAATGCCTTCAAGTCAGTCAACAAAATCATATTTTTGTTTTTGAGACAGAGTCTAACTCTGTTGCCAGGCTAGAGTGCTGAAGTGTAGTGGAGCAATCTCGGCTCACTGTAACCTAGGACTCACAGGTTCAAGCGATTCTCCTGCCACAGCCTCCCAAATAGCTGGGATTATAGGTGCACACCACCACACCTAGCTAATTTTTGTATTTTTAGTAGAGATGGGGTTTCACCATGTTGACCAGGATGGTCTCGATCTCCTGACCTTGTGATCTGCCTGCCTCAGCCTCCTAAAGTGCTGGGATTACAGGTGTGCACCACCGCACCCGACCAGCAAAATTGTATTTTTTTTTTTTTAAGTCAAACCTGTGAGTTCAGCAAAATCGTATTTCTAAGTATACCATATTTAAAGTTCTCTCAGATTTTATGTGTTAAGACATTTGAAACCATGATACAGCAGCATATGTAAATTGGCACAATTCTTATGGACCTTTATGTAATATAATGTTTGTAAATGAGGTAACATTCTAGTAAATCTGAGGTATTTACTTTTGCCCCATTTTGGTAATGGAGGTGGGGGTAGCAAAGGAAAGTGGCCATACCTCTTAGTCATAAGTACTGGGGATAGATAGGCAATTGAGATTTGATTTTAAAACATTTTTAAGAATTTGCTGTTTAGAGGCCAGCTTCTTTCCTACTAATCTGTGATGCTCTTGGTTAATACAGATGTTGGTGCATGTAGACAATGAAGCATCAATCAACCAAACGACACTGGAGTTGAGCACAAAGAGTCATGTGACAGAAGAGGAGGAAGAGGAAGAGGAAGAAGAATCAGATTCCTAAAGGAGGGGAAAAACCAGGGTCCCTTATACAAATTGCATTTCTAAGTCTCAGACTACTTCTCTTCAAGGAAATCATTTTGCCCTGGGCCCTGTGGCCTGCTTGAAAGGAAAGCAAGAACTGTAAGAAGGATGTGTAGTTGCAGAAATAGTTCCATCAGTAACTCAAGCTTCAGAATGTTATAACATGCAGAAAATCAAAGATGCTTTGTCAGCGTTGAGCAATATGGATGGTGCTGTCTGTGATCTGATCAGATTCAGTAATTGTTGAAAACAAAATTTGCTCTCAAATTTTGATGAGAAAGTCTGGCATTTACAGAAAGGGCAGTTTAAATACAAGCCAGCCTTTCTACCCAACAATGCCTCTTTTAAGAAAAGTAAAGGCTGTTTGCATGCCGCTGAACCCTTGTGAGAAGTTAGGCCACAGTCTAGGGCAAAAAGATGACCAGGGGAAGGACTGAGGGCCATCTGAGAGCACAAGCTGTTGCTCCCTGTCAGAGGCACTGAAACATTGCATGCTATAACTGCTTTGTGGGCCAGGCACGGTGGCTCATGCCTGTAATCCCAGCACTTTGGGAGGCCAAGGCAGGCGGATCACAAGGTCAGGAGATCAACACCATCCTGGCTAACACAGTGAAATCCAGTCTCTAAAAATAAACTGCTTTGTGTAGCTGCTATCATCTCTCACTTGAGACATCACTGGTAAAATATTTTTATAAATAAATTATAAATAGCCATCATGGAGCCTGCTGATTTCTAGGTAGTGAGAAAGAGAAGCAGCAGTTCCTTTTCTGAGGAAAAGATACAATAGGATGGGCCAGGCGTGGTGGCTCACGCCTGTAATCCAAGCACTTTGGAGGCCAAGGCGGGTGGATCACCTGAGGTTGGGAGTTCAAGACCAGCCTGACAAACACGGTGAAACCTCATCTTTAAAAAAATAAAAGATACAACAGGATGGTTTGAAATCCATTTCTGTCCCTTAGATGTGCTATGCTTGGAAGATTGAATTTTTTTAACAGGATGACAGCTGCAGAATAAGAAATGTTACTTAGTATCTGAAGTTGAAGTTCTTTTCTGCGTACTGTCCCTTTTCCACTGACTACTGTGCAGTAAGTAGTTGCTTAATTTTATAAAATTAATTCCTCGTCCAAACAAGTCAAAGCCAAACAAAATTACAAAGAACTTTCTCAAGTAGAACTTACCTAACAGTTCCCAAAGAATACTTTTGTTAACATTACATTGAAATTATTTTGAGCTGCTCTTAGAGGAAACAGAAGTTTAAATGAGCATGTTCCTTAGAACACACAATAGGAAGACAGTTTGGGAACAAAAAGCATCAAGGTACGTCAGTCTTGGGGTCTAATTTAAAATACAGCATGGGTTTTAAAAGCTGGAAAAGTTGACTGAATTCCAGCTCTACCACTGACTGGTCACTTGTCCTCTCACCTCTTTGCAACTCACTTTCCCATTTGGAAGGTGAAGATTCTCAAATCTACTCTAGCAGTTTCACAGGTTGCTATGAGGTGCTAATGAGATAATTTAAAAATCCAACTATCATTGGTGTCTCAGTAAGAATTTAGCATTGGGAGCTCAAAATACTACAAGACTAATTCGGGGAACATCATTCTTGGTTTAAAAAAAAAAAAAAATCTAAACACCCCTCAAAAGACACTGAGCATGAAAGTGGTCATATCTAGGTTTTAGACACCAACATTTCTCCTAAGGTTACAATATGCTCATTTTAATGAGACATTCTCAGTAGTGTGGTATCCTGTCATTTGTAAAAGACACAGGGTGTAAACGTTGAAACCCAGCCTGAATGTTTATTTGCTGAAAATGCATAAATTAAACTGCAGACTAGAAAAGCTGCACCTCAGAGTGAGAAAAAAATAACTAGCTTAGGCAGCAGTATATACAACACTGATCCTTTTTAAATCCTGGCAATATCCGGAGCTCTGGTACCTCTAGATTGGAACTACCTATTTAGAAGATTACCTACCCAAGTTTTGTTTTTAAATCTAAAAACTTTTATTTTTAATTATATATGTTGGCTTTGGTATTCTATCACCTGCCCTTTCAAAGAAAATAATGAGGGGAGAGGTATTGACCAGGCAGCCTCAAATGTACCTAAAAGTTCCCAAAGACTTTTCAAATAAGGAAAGGCTCCTGTGGTCAGTGGGCCATGGCTTACGGACATCTGCCACCTCACAGGCATGACAAAGCCAGTGACAGGCACCTTCGGAAGGCCTAGTTAAGTGTAAATGGTGAAAAAAGGGAAACCATTGCTTAATGTGGAAGCAGATGGGACTGTCCTGTCTGGTGCAGTAAGCTCCCACATTGGATAGGAAGCTGGTCACCAGCAAGGCCCTCCTGTGAGCATGACAGCCTGGAAGTGCAGGCAGGCCCTCAGCTCAACTCTGGGTATAATATGGAAAAGGAGAAATGTTCCATGAGATAAGAAATGTTTTGTGATTTTACTCAGATTTGTTCCCAACCTCCCATCTGCTGCTTTTCCCTTGTATAAAGAGATCAAAGGAATACACAGATCTATTCACAGGTCCCACAGGAAGGTGGTTGGAAAAGTAACAGATAAGGGTGTTGGGTGAGAAGAGTTGGACTGAGTCCAGCGATTGAAATTACGGGAAGCCCCGTTAGTCCAAAGCACCGAACTTGATGTGTTGTTTCTGCCTTCCAGCCTCCTTATCTTCAACTTTCCCCCTCACCGATAATGCTTAGCTAAACCAGTATTTCTTGTGTAGTAAAAGAAATTGAAAAGCTCACCACAAAAGCAAAAAGTGTTCATCCTTTTTTTTTTTTTAACTTCATAGTATATTTATTAGAATAAGAGATTAGATTTGTTAAACATCTAGGTTAAAATGGTTAAAAGGATTTTCATACAATTTTAGGCACTATACACGTTGTTTACAACAGCATTGGTACTTGGATATGGGGAAAGATAAATCTGACATTTTAATGCCTTGATCAGTTTGTAACAATCAAAATAATTCCACCATTTAAGAAACATTAATCAAAACTTAAAGAGACATACCACTAATTATCCCACACAGTATATTGAAAATAAATAGAGAAATACAACCAGAAGTCTACAGATCATTACAGTAGACAGACTGGTGAAGCCCCAGCTATCATGGCAGTGAAGGGCTCTGGCTAGATTTGGATGTAAACTGCTGAGTTCTACATGAAAAGCAAATAATAATAAAATAACATGATGTACACTTTCTGATGCTCATTTTCATAGCAGCAAAGCATGCTTCACATGCACTGCCTGTGAAGGATCTCACAAGGCTCCCTTCTACTCAAACAGAGAAAGTATGCCCAGCAAGAATAAAGTACCACCAAATGTCAAAGAATCCCGAAAATACAGGCAGACAGCCAGTCATGGAGCAGGAACAGCAGTGCAATTGTAAGAATGACTACCCACAGTCACCAAAATTTCACTGTAATTCAGCCTGGCACGTGTTTGGATCATCAATATATACACAAATAGCCCCAAGCACAAAGCCAATCCACTTAGGGGAACAGTAATAGTACTAAGAATAAAGACAGTAATATTAAAAATGAAAAGAGTAGAATCTTGGCACATGCTGTGTTCTTCATCCTTTGTCATAGGTGAAATGCACATCTGAACAGAGACAGGCATGGGAAGGAGGCCCAAAAGCGACATGGCAAACCACTGGGCAGGGACTTGCTCTTTGCTGCTTCCCAAACACTTAGACGCCAGCAGCATGGGTTGGTGTGCTGGGCTGGTTAAGGCCAATGGTGGAGCAGAGCCAACCTGCAAAATCCACTTCCTCAGCATCAGATCTCTTGATAAAAGCATGAACCTACATGTAAGGAAACAAGAAAAAGTGGTGTTAAAAACAAACAAACAAACACCAGGAAGGAAACTCCCAAGAGTTTCAGGTCTAGAGCTTGTGCTGCACTTGGAAGGAGTACCTGGTACCTCCCCCTGGGCAGCAGTGGGCGCGGCTGCAGGCCCAAACACCCGCTCCATCAGTCACAGCAACTATGAGGCCTTAAGCAAGTCACTTCCCAAAGAGCCTGCTCTTGCAGTATGGAGACAGTAACTCTGCCTTAAATGCCTCACAGGCTTGTAAGAAGGGACAAAGAAAATGTTGGACTTAGTGCATATTATAGTACACACACTGTCTATAGCTGTCCAGATATTTACAGGATTACTTAGCGATTCCCATTGCCACCAAACAAGAGACAGCAGGCAGAGAGTGACTCAGGAAGGAGGCTGAATGTAAGGTAAGGCAGTCAGTATCAGGAAAAGGCTCCACCTCCATGAAGGAGATGGGCTGACCTTTTCCTTCCCTTGGCCCCCTCAGGCCCTTCCTCTGGCCTGCTTATTCAGGCTGCGGGGTCACCCTGCTTTCCCTTTAACTGATGGGCGGGCAGAGGAGACTCAGGTTTGGTATTCTGCAGCCCCAGGCTCAGCTGGACCACAGTGGGCAGGGAATGAATGGGATCTGGAAGTGCACAGATGACTGACAGAGAAGAACAAATGAAAAAACAGGTACTGTAAGAATCTGGAATAAATGGACTCACCATGAGTTGTTTCAAATCTGCTCTCTCTGCCGGGTTTTTAATTAAGCTTAAAGGAAGAAAGATAAGGTGAGAGCTGAGTGGAACTAAAGTCAAAAAGCAATGTGCCAATCCCTGGAAAGCGAGTATGAAAAGCAGCAGCTACTATACCCATCATGTAGTTAGACATGTCACGTAAGTCTTGCCTCTCTTAAAAAAGGGGCTTAAAGGGCCGGGCGCGGTGGCTCACGCCTGTAATCCCAGCACTTTGGGAGGCCGAGGCGGGTGGATCGCGAGGTCAAGAGATCGAGACCATCCTGGCCAACATGGTGAAACCCCGTCTCTACTAAAAATACAAAAAATTAGCTGGGCATGGTGGCGCGTGCCTGTAATCCCAGCTACTCAGGAGGCTGAGGCAGGAGAATTGCCTGAACCCAGGAGGCGGAGGTTGCGGTGAGCCAAGATCACGCCATTGCACTCCAGCCTGGGTAACAAGAGCGAAACTCAGTCTCAAAAAAAAAAAAAAAAAAAAGGGGGGGGCTTAAAAAAGGGAGGGGAAAGGGCAAAACTGTGCCTGCAGAGGCACTGGTGCTTCCAGAAATGGGGTGGGGAGCCTGACAAATCCAGAGTACCCTTCCAGAGAACAGGGAGCCAACTTACCATTTATTCACAAAATCTTGAAATTCCAGGCTGAATACTCCACTGGGCAGTTTTGGAGGAGGCTGCAAACACATGTTGAGATAAGAAAAATGCCTGACTCCTTGCTCCAGCCATCTCCTCTCCCCATCCCACCCCTCCCTCCAGCAGCCAGTGCTACTTTTTTATTTTTATTTTTATTTTTTTTTTTTAAGTCTTCTCTGCAGTCCAAAGGCAATGCCACTCTCATCCAGTCAAGGAAAGGCACAGGTGGAAGGCCAGCGGCTGGCTGCCTGTTGGGTAACCACGTTGGAACCACTGGTCTCAAATAGCACAG